TTAAAATCACACAGGAAAATTTCTCAAAATTTGTTTCTACGAGGTAGGGTTAGTTTTAGCTTTTCCCAAAAATGACCAAAAAAAAAAAGGCCGCTGACATTCCAAAATAATCTGAAATTATGAAAGTATGGAAAAATGATTAAGGCGTCCTCATGTGACCAATTTATTTCGAGTTCTATTTATTTATTTTCAATTTAAAAGTCATATCTAATTATCAATTCAAAACAGTTCAAAAGTTTAAAAGTTTTTTTTTTTTTACCAGCACAAAAGTTTAAAAGTTGTTGGTTCAAGTTCTATTATTATGTATATATATATATTATGTCTCTCTTGTTTATATATTATGTATGTATTGATCATTTTTTTTATCTTTTTTATTCTCATAATTTCAGTTTAGGTTTCTCTTTCTTTTTTTTTTTGGGTCATATCATGGCAGAGCATTAGCTGCTTCTTCTTCTCCTTTTTTTTTTTGGGTCACCTGCCCTTTCTAACCGCAGGCTCATGTCCTTCCTTCCCCGTCAAACCATGACAGACCCTACGCTCTGCCAGTCTAACCACGATTGTCAGCCTATCCTGCAGCTGCTGATACGCCTCCAAATGTTCCCGCCTTTTCTCTCTTTCAGGTATGTTACAGTTATAAATACATTTTACATAAATCATAATTTTTCAATAAAATTTCATATAAGAAAAAAATATATATATATATAAAAAACAAGTTTCAAAAATTACTATTCTTTACGAACTTGTTATTATAAATTGTTCAAACTAACGTTTTAGTAATTTTTTTTTTTCGGATTTGATTGTATTTTTCTAAAAAGAAAAAACTCTTAATTCACTTTGTATTGGCATGCTTTTACTCAGTCCACATCATTTGAAAGAATCATACTTTTTACTAACATTAATTAATATTATTCCATCCCTGATTATAAGAATTTTTAGGTTAAAAAACAGTTAAAATTAATTAAAAATAATTAATAAGTAACAAATATTTTTTTTAAATATAACCCTAATAAATATATAAAAAATAATAAGATAAATAGAGAGAGAATGTATGGAGAATTACATGAAAATTTATTAAGAATAAGATATATAACAATATGTTAAATGTTCAGATAATCTCAAAAAAATCCTTATAAATAGAGACAAATCTATTAAAAAAAATCTTGTAATTAGGAACGGATGGAGTATTATATAACCCGTCCTTCAGTCCTTCTCGCCACCTCTGTCTCACTCTCACTCTTCCATTCAAACATCAGTGTCATAAAGTTTACTTCTACTACTATTAATGATTTTTAATTTTAATTAGACAGCCATGCAAACATTTGCACGGATTACTCATCAAGTTATGTAATTTATTAAGATTTCGCCCCCCGAAGCAAAATTTCGGGGCCACATCTCTGACTCAAGTGTTCAGCTGAGCACCCAGAACAAACAACAACAGCAGCGGAAACCACAAGGAACTGGAACGCAGCAGATCAAAGACAAAGATTACGTTCATTTGACCATTAATTAAAAAAAAACTAGAGGATTACGAGCCCGCTTACATTTCTTATTCAAATGAGCCCAGATGTAGTGACACCCGAAGAAGTTACATTCATTATCAAACATCCCTAACCCTCTAATGGCAGAATATCACCTTGAGCTCCCTTGGGGAAGAACACTCGTGCATCAGCGAAGGGTTGTCATGAGCATAAGTGAAGGTCGCAGGACACGCATGCTTGAAGAACTCAGAGTAAGTCGAAGGCTTACACATCTGTGGGCTGTTGTAATGGTTCCTGCAGCACAGCTCGTCCGTCCTAAAAGCCTCGCACCCACTCTTACACGCCACCACCGGACCGTGACCCTGCGGCACACGGTGCTGCAACACCGGAGGACACGTCGCAAGCAGATCCACACGGCAACCCACCACGGGACACACGCCTTTACCTCGTGCGGGGTCACCGTCATGGGGACGTTGAAGCCGTCCACGAGGCTGACGCCGTAGGAGGAGTAGTCGTTCGCACCATGGTGGATGCTGAACTGAGCCAGAGAAGCGGGAGCTGCGCCGCCAGCGCCGTTGCACTCGAGGCGACCGCCGCAGTCGCCGGTGGCGCAGAGGAACTGGTTACCGGAATAGCTACAGCCTGTTCTAGCCCAGACCCGACCCGACCAGTGTCGGTCCGGTACGGGGATGGAGATGTGAGTGAGAGACTGGAGAACGAAGCCGCCGCGAGAGAGAACGGGGTGGCCGGCGTTGGGTTGGATGGCGGGCCAAATGGTGAACTTGCAGTTGTTGACAAGGGTTAAGATGGTGGCGTCAGTGAGAGTAGTGAGGATGAAGAAGGAAGCTATGGCAAGTGAAAGGCAGCGTGTGAAGGAAGGAGAAGCCATGCTTGGAGTGTGGGGATTATCAGAGAGGCGGGTTGGTTCATTTTATAGAGAGAAGAGCTGTATTTGATTCAAGGTTTTGGGGGCTGCTGCTGTGAAAGAAGCCGGTCAGCAAGAGAGGGACCTGATTTGGGCCTATTTCATGTGACGGAATTGCCCCTCGCTCTTTCAATTTCACTGATGAAAAAGCAGATTAGGGGGGGTGGAGAAAAAGTGGGGTCAGAAACCTGCGGAACAACTGTGAGACTGCAAAGCAAACAGTGGGGTCTTTAGAATCATTAGTGCTTTGTGCGCGGGAAATGCAAACCAGGGAGCCACCCCCCAGAATCTCGAGGCTTCCGCGCTGTTATTATTTACTAATACAACTATTAAGTGGATAAGTAAAGTAATTAGGCATGCAAATTTAAATTAAATCGCACTTGCTGCTTTGCCTAACGATAAGTATGTCCCCTGCCCTCCCTCGGCCTGCTTTCAAGTAAGAAAATAACATAAAATATTTCAAGATGACTTGCAAAAAAAAAACTAGCGTATTAAAAAAGATCGACCTAAGCTTTTCTTTTATGAAGCAAATAATCAATATTAGTTGAAGATGGCGACGAACAAACGAGGGGCAATCGGATAAGAAGCTCGTTTAGCGAGGTAATTGTCGGCCTATCACTTTACTTTTTCTCTGCTGCACAGCCCAGAACTCACAGAAACTTTGCCCTCTGAACGATTGCGGAACCAGTTCCCCGACTATTCATGTATATTTGAAAACGTGAAAGCCAATCGTTTCAATTTTTAATAAGCTCCCCATTATCCAACACCCAAAAATGCTACCTTCCCTTCTAATTGCACTTCTAATTATAATCTCTTATTTATAGTTTACAAATAAAATTTTATAAATAAGACTGGAACTGGTAAGTTAATACAGATTCAAGTCAGCTCATAAATGTAGTATAGCTTTTTTAAAGATATTTTTTACATTTATACAAACTCAGACCCAAGACTTTGTGTTTAAGCAACTGCGACTTCTTTCATTAATATCATCGCCAGTTAGTTTAAAACTCCTTTTTCCACAATACATAGAAAGATAAATATACAAATATGTTTTTACATTTACATTCACATTTTTCCTCTTTATATTTTGGATTCTTAATGTTATTAATGTAAACTGGATAAATGTGTCCCAGAGCTAGCTGAATTGCTTTTTTTGCTGGGAAAAAAAATTATATTTTGAAATATTGCAAGAAGAATAACGACAGCGAAAACCATTTTCACATAAATAAAAAGGACAGACACTGATTTAGAGATGATCGAATTTCAATTAGAAATCATGTGAGCTCCTTTCTTGTTTTGAAAAATACATGTTCGGCAGACCATACCCGAACTATCCTCGATTTGTCCCCCCCCCCCCCCAAAAAAAAAAAAACCGAGGGCTCTTGGAATTCATAGACTTGTAATGCCGAGTCCGTTCATGGAAATACCCATGGGGTAACATCAAGGTTTTTAGGCTAAGGCCCACTAAATAACAAGTAGGCCGAAGGCACTTAGTTTTGGGCCCAAACTAATGGCCTGTTCATCCAATCCCCGGTCCAGCCCATTAAATCAAGGCACTCTATAAGCCTAGTCATCATTATTCCCCGAAAAAGAAACAAAATGGAAGTCAAAACAAGTCAGTCACATTTTTTCTCCCACCTCTCCTTCTGCTGAACTTCGAAAGCCATGATTGGTTTATGGAGGACAAAGTCTAAATTACGAAGCAAATCAGGTAATTAAGCTGATCATGATGGTCCTTATTTCATGGGGCCTTGCAATTTTTTTTGTTCTCTTATCTGCCGCGGAACATTTCGGGGACATGTGTATATACTATTCAGTTTCGGTGATATTGTCTTGATTCAATCCTAACTTTAGGCAATCATAACAACAATTGAATTTATAACTAAAGATCTTCATCATGTCTCTCGTAAAAGCTCATCTTGTCTATCACACCATGCCAAGAGCACCCTTGTAGTCTTGTTAGCTCACTTTAAATTTTTGAAAACGTACAAAAGGCAAAGCCAGTGTGCTGTGCCTTCAACTACAAGACAAGTTTACTTTACGCCAGAGTGCGATGAAGAAGGATGGCATGCTTGCACTCCAACTTCAGATGTCTAGGTATTTAGGGACATCTCTGGTGAGATATTCTGACGGAGAAACCATTACTTAACAATGAGTGTAGAATATGGTAATAGATTTTGTTGGCCTTAAGTAATTAGTCTCAAATCTGTAGGGCGCATGGCGTTAACGAGTGGAACTAAATGTGCTCAAAACTTGATTTGAAGAGTAAGGAATTGGGAGGGTGGGAGGACAGCAAGGCTAAGCACTCAAGAGAAAAATAATGGCAAGGTACTTGGAAAACTTTGTTTTTTTGTTGGTTATCATGGAGGCAATGATAACTGAGAAATGATAGCAGGTAAGAAGTCAATCCACAATGAAGATAAATACAGATTCTCGATCTTATCAATTATCAAATCAGAATGCAAATACTGGCATAGGATTCCCGGGCATCTTTTAACAAACATTCTCTGGATCAAAATTCAAGTTCGGTTATCATTATAGACCAAAAGACGCAGCACATAAATACTGCTTCATCTCTCACTCTCAACACCATAACTCTGCTACTCTCCACTTCAACCAGTGCCAAAGATGAGAGGACAAATCTTCCTCCGTCTTCTCCTACTGTGTCTCCTCCTTGCAGCTTCTCCGTTCAATCATTTCACTGCCAATGTTCAGGCCATTCCAGCAGGTAATTATTTTTGCTTATGCAGAAAAATATTGACGGCTTTTGCCAGCATTGTTTCTGCTGCGACTAGCTCACGCTCATTTCTCTGTTCCTTCCCACCAGTTCATGTCAAGCTCAGGACCTTACGACCCAGCACAATGCCACATTCTGGGCATGTCATACCTTCCTGGGTTAGTACCAAGACAGGGTTTTGTCATCTTCATTACGTGATTTTAATTCGCTAGGATATATAATTACGTGAAAAGCTTTCTTCGTCAAGAGGTTGACGCCTCCTTGTCATTAGATGGAATTTCAGATTTGCTCCTTGTTAAGAAGTTCAAGCGAAAATCTCTATTTTGATAGCGAAGAGTGTCGCTGAAGAGGTTTATTTCTCAAATATTCGAATATTATCAAATTTTATGTAGTTAGTTCAAAACCTGCGAGAAATGATATGTTATAATGATGGAACTCCTGCGTTCGAATATGATAGCTGAAATCGATCTCTTCTATATATTTTGCCATATTCTCAGTAAGCATAGACATAAGCCTGATGCATGCCAATGACTGGGAATTGCAGGATGAAGATAAAAGGACTCGTAAGAGCCCATCAGGCCCGAATCCCATAGGGAATCACCAACCGCCATCTAAAACATAAAGCGATGATAGGATGAACACAGCCATTCGACATCAACGGAGACACCAGTCACCGTTTCTTAGGAGGAGCCTTGGGAGACCCCGGTTTCTAGGAACATTGTGGTTGTACAAAATGGGGTTTGATAATTGAATATTTGTACTTTATAAGTTGTTATATTGGTCATCATTAAGTTTTATCGCATTCAGTAGAATCTAAATATCATTCCTATTTCACTTTCTACTTCCTATCAGCTCGCAAAGGCTCTTTTTTTCCCCCCCTTTTTCGCATTGATTCGAATTCCCAAACCTTCACATCTTATCTTGGCCACCCTTTCCTTTAACGAAGTCACAATCATGGTCCATGGAATCAGCTCGATATTCTGCTCATGCGCAGTCATGGCCTCCTTTGCATCAGAAGCTTTCCCCGTTTCTTTATATACTGTAAGTTATAAATTTGTTATGCCTCCCCGTTTCTATCAGAGAATTCATCATCGAAAGACAGGAAATTTACCCACGAGGCAAATTTCTTTACCTACTTTGTATAATATTAGTCATCGAGAGCTCATCATTGCATGATTAAATGACACATTCAATTTGAATAAGCCAGTCCAAAAATGGCACAGGAGGCTAAGATACAATCGATTGTAATATACATGTCTCCTTTCAAACTACAAACAGCCGCATGGACTCGCTTTATACAGTCCGCTTCCGCTTTGAGCGCTTGCTTCTTCTTTCCCTCATATTTGGAACCTCCTTGTTTATTGTTGAAGCATATGCTTCTTCCGCAACTCCGTCACCCTATAAAAAGTTGACTTAGTGTTGTAGACTTCTCGGTGAAAAGAATACAGATGAGAACCCCATACTTCATTCTTCTTTTTTGGGGAGGGGGGGGAGTGGTCAGCATTATTAATTAATAAGATACAACTCAGGCAGCAAAAAATAACGCCTCAGGATGATCATGAAGCACAATTACGTATAGTTCCGTTGAGGAAAAAAAATTAGAACTTGACCCGCTTGTTGGGAGAACAGCAAGGCCTTGTGACAGACAGTGACATACACACCTTCAATCTGAGTAATGGGAAATATGTTTCATAGCTGGGTTCTCAAGTGAAATATCATTTGAGCCCTTAGGAAGGCAGCGATATCTTATATCCACTACCTAGTCCACATATTGTTTTTCAACTCCCCGAATATCTAGTTTGACTAAATTCATCAATTAATCTTCATGTTAGCATAACTTGCAGTATCACGGCAAGGTTTTAAAGTGAGGTGCAATAATGTGCAGTGTTGGGCTGGAGCTGACATCTTAAACGCAGGCAGATGAGCTTAGTTTTGCATATTCTTTGATATTATGAACTGATTAATTTGCAATATAAAAAAAGGAAGTTGGAATCACATTACAAATAATAACAACTATGACTCAATAGAGGGTTTTCTGGCTATGTCCACTGATGCAAATGCAAGGGTTCTCATTTTCTTCATTCTTTAAATAAAAACAAAAAAATGATTTCATGATAAATTGGGAGCTCGGATGGCAGCAGTCAGCAATGACGTAATATTTAAACTAACACCATACAAGATGAATATTTACCTTGTCATCACTCTCCTCATCTGAACTACCATCAGAATCAGAAACAGAAGCCAGAGGTTGAGCCTCTTCTTGAGGCAGTGCCTTGTTTGACTTCTTTTTCTCTTTTTCCTTCAACTGTTTAAACCTAAAAATCGCCAATTCTATATAAGAAAATTTCAGGAGGACCTGAAAAATTATGTCTGTATTATGTGTCATACCACACTGACCTCTCACCGGTTCTTTCTGGCTGAGAAACCGATCGTTTAGCACGCCCTGCGGTAATAATTCCACTTGCATTTTCATTCACAACAGGCTTTGCACCTCCTAATTTGCGCAGCCATACTTGTTGTGCTGTGCTCAAAACGTTGTTTGTAAACCTAGCACAACAAAATAAGATAATTTGCATTGTTTTGGATGAAGAAAAAGAGGGGATAACTGATAACATGACATTATTTGTTTGAGAAACATGGTACCCTCCGTCCAAAACAAGAACTGAAGTTTCTCATATATATTTCTTTCTGCATTGAACATGCATGAACGTGTTTGAAAAAGGTAGAAAAGGAGATAATGATACAAGAGGTTTACAGTAAGAAGACACATCCAAAAAGGGCGAAAAAATGCAGGCATTTGAGGCAATAAAATCAACAAAAAGTGGCTAATATTGAAAACATAGTTCTGAAACACTAACCAGTAAATCGATAGCCCTGAAGGGACAGACAGCGAGAAGTAACCAATCATGAGCGGAAGAAACTTGAAAACAAGAAGTGTATTTTTTTGAGCCGGATCATCAGTCTGTTAAAATAAGTCATTAAGCACTCAGGACTCTCGTGTAAAAGGATCTGAACAGAAGGAAAAGTCGCAGTTTACCTGGGGGGGTTTCATAATTTCCATAGAAACATACTGAGAAACAACAAGAAGGATGGGTAAAACAAGATATGCTGCGGTGTCTTGCCAGCCCAACGGTGGATGACCATCCTACATGGCAGTTTGTTTTTCGCCATATATCAGTGAAAGCTACAGAGTATAGACAGAGAATAGGGCATTTATTCCTACTCAATAGATGAGCGGAACAAGCGAACAAATGAAATGCAGGTCAATCTCATAGAAGCCATTATTCTTGTAGAACAAGTAAAGCTATGTATGTGGTCACAGAAATTTCAGACTACCAACCTCTGCAAGCCAGTAAATTTTTCAATACAGGTTGCAGCAGGATGTTAAAGAAAAAAGTGAAGAAACACAAAAATCCACCCCTTCCCCTAGTAAGAAAAGTAATAAAAACTTCCATCTAGTGTAAAGAAGACGCAGAAAAGGATTCAATTAGTAAACGAAGAGAGGAAATACTATGATTTTACAAACCATATTAAAAAAATTGACCAAAGGAGTAATAAAAGGTAAAAGGTATAGTGTGAGAAAACCACAACTTTTTTCCTTCTTTGATTTTTTTTCCGTCAAACAGAAATCGTAACAAGAACTACGCAAACAAGAAGTACCAAGGATAAATTACTGTTTCACCAATGAAGGGGAAAAATATTCCTCTTACCACAAATGGCAGAAGCCAAGAAATTCCAGATCCACTTTGTCTAGCTGCAATGGTAGTAGGACCACCCAAAGAGGGGATCCAAAAAAATCCTTCTGTCAAAAGCCCCTTCAAGTAAATGGTTTTCCAGAATCAGAAACAATCAGATGTAATATCAGAGGATCATTTATCCATAAAAATCTCCACTTAATTGACAAAGATTTTGTAGCATCAATTACTTCATTTGCCACATTTGATAAAGCTTGGTAGAGACCTATCCAGACAGGAATGGTAGCCAAAGTCGGTAAACAACCTATACAAGCAAACAAGGAAAGGATAACTGAGGAAGTACATACAAAAAACATAAAACTGCAGAAAACAAAGAAGTTCTGACTGAAATATAGAAGTAACGTTAGAGAAAGACCCCTGAGGGGCAATATGGATAAGGAAAAAGGACGGGGTTGATATAACAATTACTACTTGCAGACCATCCTGTGTTATTAACAAATGTTCGCCACCAAATTTCTGATTCTATGAGTGATCAACCTCATATGACAAATATTTTGTCAAAACAAGTGGCAAGAAGAAGAATAAGAAAAGAACAGGAGCAGGAAGAAGAGCAAGAGAAAAGCAACGGTGAGATGGAACATACCAGCCAATGGATTGACACCCGCTTGCCTGTATAGCCTTGATGTCTCGAGTTGTATTCTTTCCTTAAAAGAAGACAACGCAATGACTTGTTTAGAGAGAACCATGCTAAAGTTTCAATAAATAAAACAGTACTTGCTAAAAGCAGAATGAACGACTTATTCAGACCACACAGCCACCAACATCACTCACCTGATTGCCAGCGTATCTTTCTTGGATGGCCTTAATTTTTGGTTGAAGATTTTGCATAGCAAGTGTTGATTCAACCTACATATTTACTACAATCAGCATTTGAACATGGTGTGGTCAAGCAAATCATATAATTGCCATGTGATTTCAGTTCTCCTGCATTTGTGCTTTATTCATGGTGGTTTGGATAAGAAGTATCTTAGGGTTATGGGAAAAAATCAGTTACTTCTACAGGGGGAAAATAGTGTTGAATGATTTGAGGGGTGTTTGAATTAGCTTTTTGAAAGTGATTTTAAGGTATAGGAGGTAAATATGTGAAAGAAGTTCTATCTCGACTTGCATAAAAATATTTTTTTTTAAGAGCTTTTGGTGTTTTCCAAACACCCTCTCGAGTGAAAAATTTCCATGAAAATGCAAAATTTCGCACATTAAAACTGACTCTATGAAGCTGCTGATTTTGCACTAACCTGTTGCTTTGTCAAGGGAAATGTAGCAACTTTAACAATAAAAGTGAGCAATATAATAGCAAATCCATATGCGTAAGGCACATGCACAGCACTCAGGCCATCTTTTAACACCTGGAAATAACAAACAACGTTTATGATTCCACATTTAAGACACAATTATACGGGGAAAAATACATTTCCATTTATTGCTTTGCATATAACATACATGCCGCAATTTAAGATTTGGTTATACTTCCCGTGTCAAATCGGGTAATTTATGATTTCTCTAATAAATAACAATTCAATAATTGCCAAGTTTTTCATAATTTTAATACGACGTGTCTAGTAAACCTCGTATGCATGATGCTTTTCTATATAAATCCAGTAAGCCCATCACAAAATCTAATGTTTCGCTTCTTTCAGAATCGGTGACCTCCCAGCATGATTTATCACAGATACCGTTTTCAGTCACACAATGATTGCATAACCTGGATAACAAATTTTTTATTTTTTTACCGCTCAACATATATTACGGTCAAGTGACTAGGCCAATTAGTCGCCTGCTTAATATGAAAATTCCTATTTCCTAACAATTATGCATCTTCGTCTAATACTCCTCCGGTCCTAATTATAAGACCCAATTGACTTATTTGAGGAAATTAAGGAAGTAAGTTAAGTTGGTTATTTATAATAAATAAGTGTTGTCATTCCTAAAATATCCTTGCTAATTAAGTATATTGGCTAAAACTATCATTATTAGAAGGATTATCTGGGAAAAAAATGCATAAATATAAGAGACAAAATGGATTGAGTCTTATAATTAGCACTAAATAAAAAGTCAAATTGGGTCTTATAATAAGGACGGGAGGAGTATATACTTGGCAAAAATAAAAAATAAAAAAAATCTTCGTCTAATATATAAGTTGCTGTAGGATAGATTAGAGTTTCGAAAAATCTAAAACGATTACCTTGAGAACAAACTCCATGGCTTCAGAAATAAAACCGAACCACCCTCCGTTCTTCTGCGCGACAACATCAGTGGAGGTCGATGCCGCAGCACCAGCACCAGGATCGGCAGAAACCGCGGCATCAGCAAGGGTATAAAGAAGCGCTTCAGCTCTAGTAACGACTTGACTGAGGTCAAATGAATCACTGAGGGAGTGAATAGGGGGGATTTCGTGGAAGCTGAATTTAACTCGGGTGCTGACCAGCCTACGATGAGGGAGATGGAAGGTGTGTAGACCAAGGCGAGAGATAGAAGGAAGAGGGGTGCCGATGAACGAAGGAGAGGAGATTAATGTCTTCGCCATGGAAGAGAAGCTTACGGAGGATGAGACAAATACAGTTCAGCTTCTCATTGACAGAAGGGTGGGAGGAAGGGAGATGAGGAAGCTTTGGCAGTGGAAGACAATGGAATTAGATATTCTCCATTTATCCGTATATTTTGCGAGCCAAATGAATGCTGATGGCAACCTTTTTCCGCCAATCCCTTCGTGACGCGTCATATGCTCGGGGGTTTATCGTCATTGTACGGGGATTGTAAATAATTTATGGGGTCCTTCGAGGTTCATTTTTGAATTAATAATGGATTACAAAGCATTACAATCAATACTGGTTCATTTTTGTTCCTTCGAGGTTCATTAACTGTTAATATTAATAATTACCGCCTATGTGTCTTTTTTTTCCATAACAGCATGACAATAAAATTACGTGATTTAAAAAACTAATTAAAATTATTTTAAAATAATAAATATATAAAAATAATTTTTTAAGCATGTCTTTATTTATAAGAGGCAAGTAAAAAAGAAAAAATATAATAAAATTTTTAATTAATATAATATATCAAATTAATTAGAAATAAAAATAGTAAAAATACATTAACACTGTGTTTGGTACGGGGTTTTCAGAGGGGAGGGAAGGGAAGTTGCTCCCCTCCCTTTGTTTGGTTGGTGTAATTTTTTAGGATGGGAGGGGAAGAGAGCCCCTCCCCTCCCCTCGTTTGGTTAAGATGTTTTTTAAAGAGGGGAGGGGTTCTTCTCCTCTCTCCTTCCCTTCTAGCCTTCCCTCCAAAAGTGGGGTTTTTTGGAGGGGAGGTGAGAAATAATATTTTAATTCCTTATGTACTCTTTTGATTTGTTAACCTCTAATCAGTCGTAAACATTTCTACACAAAAGAGTTCTTTTGAGCATCTAACAAGAGGTTATTAAGATAATTGTCTCCAAAATTAGTGAGCATTTGTAAACCTTTTTTTTTTTCTCTGGTATTTTCTTTCATCTTCAAGGTCTTTTCTCTGATTGAAATCTATTACTTGTGACTTTTTATCTTGATATTCTATAAGTGTGTGACTGTGTCTTGTAAATCAAAATTGGTAAATTGTATTATATATATAGTTATATCTTAACAAAATAAAAAAGTGAGAAAATTCATTTAAATTTTATGAGGTTAAAATAGTCAATTTTTTATTAGAATAAAATAAGGTATTACTCCTCCGGTCCTTAATATAGGACCCAATTGGTGAGTTGGCTTTGGTCCTAAATATAAGACCCATTTCTCATATTTATCAATTATCTCTAAATTACCCCTATGGATACCCTTTCAACCATAATCAAGTAGAAGAGAAAGATAAGGTATTAAGAAATATAATTATGGTATTTTAGGAAAAACGTGTCATATTTCTTATAATTAACTAACTTACCTAACTTCCTTAATCTAATCAAATTAGTTAAATGGGTCTTATATTAAGGACCGGAGGAGTATTAAAATTGCTCCTTCCCCTCCCCTCCAATCTATCCAAACAGGAGATCATTAAAATCCCTCCCTCCCCTCCCTTTGTAACTACCCTCCCCTGTCCTCCCCTCCCCTCCCATTCCCTTGATTAAAATCCCTCCCTTCCCCTTCTCTCAATTAAAATCCCTCCCTTCCCCTTCCCTCCGTCAAGCCAAACACATCGTAAATGTTTAGATAACCACCATAAAATCTTATAAAAAAATAAGACAATTCAAATTCCATATTTTTATAAAAAAAAGATAGGAGGGACTATTGATTAATAAATGTATAGACAGAAACTAGAAATTCATTATCAAAGTTGATACAATGATTGAAAAAATAATTTTATGGTTCGAATCAATTAAAATAATGAAAAAATGACAGAAAAATATTCTTAAATTCCAAAATCTCACTAGCTACCTAAATAAGTAAAATTATAGTTTAAATGTGGGTAATCAAATTAAAATCTACAAATAGAGCTTTGACAACTGATGTTAAGGACTTGATTGGTTAGAGGGGAGGGTGGGGGAGAAGAGAAAAAATGAGCTCCTCCCTTCATTGGTTAAAAATTTTGAAGAGGAGGAAAGTCAGAATGTGCCCTCTCTTTCTTTCCCTACTCCCATTTTAACTCTCCCCAAATTGGAAAGAAGTTAAATTTTTGGAACATCATAATCTTATATTTTTTTTAATATTTCACGACTATCTATAAAATATGTTATTATAATATTTATTTCAAATAAAAAATATATTATCCTAAGTAAAAAATATAAATTATTATAATAAAAATTAATTTTAAAAAATATTTAAATAAACAATGATAACATTATAAAATTAATTGTTTTTTTAAATATATTATTTATTAAATATATTTTAGAGCATATAAAATTTATTAATTTGATTATTTCAAATATATTATTATATTAATTAGAATAAAAAATTACTGTACCAATTTTTTAATGTACATATTAACATAATAAGACTGAATTTTTATTAAATCATATAATTTAAATTAAGATATAAATTAATTTATATAATATATCAATAAAAAAATATAAACTAATATATAAGGATAAAATAGTAAATTGATTATTATTATCCCTTTCCTCTTTCTCTTAAACCAAACAAGTGATCATTAAATATCCCTTCCTCTCTTTCTTTTTAGTCAAACCAAACAAAGTGAGGATAAAACCTCCCTCACCCCTCTCTACCTTCCCATCAAACCAAACAAGCCCTAAGTGAGTATACTGGGTTTTTTTAAAAAAAATAAAGGACAATATGATTATTTTAACAAGTTTGTAAATCCTAATTTGATCACTTATACCTAAATTATAATTTTACTTATATAGATTAACATTTAAAGATTTTATTATTTAACTATTATTTTTCTGTTTTCTTTCTGAAAAAACAACATTTAGTTAAATTTGTCTGGAAAATAATATTTAAAAAATACAATTTGATGTGACAAGTAAACGTCAGCTTAACTCAGGCGGGCTTTCTTTTTATTAAAATCAACTGATAAAGGGCCTCACATTCTCACAAGCAACAATAACCATTCCATTATAGGTAAACAAAAGCAATATTTAATTATTTATAGGTTGTTTTAAATTTTTATTTTTCTTTGTTAAAAACTATTTTAATAGTTAATGTATTTATTTTTTTATAGTTAATATATTTTTATTTTTTTAAGTTTGCCTTCGTTTTAGTTTTGGTTTTTCAAGTTTTAAATCCCAGATTTTGATCTTTTGATTTTCTTTTCATTTAAAACACCGGCCCTGTAAATTAGTAAAAACTTAATCCATTTTATCCTTGAGTAACTAAAACTATCCCAAAACTAAAACAAGGACAAACTTAAGAAAACAAATATTATATTAACCCTATTTTTTATTTCCTGAAACATCATTTTATAATAAATGTTCTGAAAATTATATTTTAGTATAACTTCCCTACTCATCACACATTCTCTTTTTCATAATTCTTTTTATTATAATATTTTTTTTATTTGCTTTCATATATTCTCTCCTGAATAAATAAGAGCATTTTGAAGAAAAAAATTTCAGTTTTTGCACATTTAATGTTTTTAACAGTTTTAACTAGTTTTTTAATCTCTGTGATTTTTGCTTGTAAAAATAGGACAAAGAGAGTATTAGGTGTATGGCCAGCCAAAAAAAAAAAAGTGTAGTATCATACTAATGGCTATTTGCTTTGTAGGGCAGCAATCAGTTAATGTCAATTTAATAATCATAGTCATATCTATATGAAAAGAGGTCCTGACAGTGAATTATGAAGTACGAGTATATTGGGAGCATTGACAGAATTTCTCATAAGACAGGCTCCACCTCAATGCAATTAATGTGAATCTCATTAATCTGAGCCTTACTCAAACCAGGTACCGGGTTTTTTCTATGTGATCTTTTTATCCGGTGTTTAAATAAAATTCAGGTTTCATAAGAAAAATGTGAATCTCATACTGCCCATTAATTAATAAAGCAGACTCCTTCTTTGAAATCACCGGGACCAAACTATCTTCATGTGATGAGCGAGAACAAAGTGATTAATAGGAAATTTCCGGAATCTGTGTTTCGTGGAAGGACAAATCATGTACAATAAAAGGCACGCACACAAACAGGAAAATAGATAATAAGAATAGTGAAACAATGGCAGAATAGCAGTATTTACTTGAGGCCGGGGAGATAGACATTATCATTTCCCTTCAAATTCATGGGAAATTTTAAGAGAATAAAACATAAAGCTGAGCTGGTGACAGTGAAATGTAACTCCATATAATTTAATAGTCTCGTAATCAATAAAATCGGTCAATTAAAGAAGAACGAATAATACATTATACTGATTCCCCCCCCCCCCCAATTTGCATGTTACAGGTGAAGCTGAGCGTCTGGCAGATTGAGTTCTTGTTATCGTTTTCAAATTATACAGACGTGATATATGCGTGGCTTTGATTCAGTTTACTGAATATTTCGAGCAGCTAAATGTTAACCTTCTTTTTTTTTAGTTTCCCCGAATCAGAGGAATAACCATTAACGGCATAAGGTTGTAAGCGGGATGCCTTAAATTTATAGGAAAACGTCAATACCACCAGATTATAAGGTATCTAGTGAAGTTTTAACTCTTCATTGCTCATTAGCCTTAGAAATTAAATGTTCATTTATTATTCACCTCTTGTAAGTCTAAACTATTTTCTCATCAAGCACGCTTTTAATAATATCAACGCAAAAATATCCCTTTAACTGAATTTCGTTTCGTAGTTTGAAGAGCGAGTTTGAAAGGAAAATGCATAATGGGCAGCCATAGAAGTAAAACTCATAACAATTATACTTGATAAGCTACCAGCATGGCTGTTCTGAAAAATGTTACTACTGTATAACGGTGACAAAAAGTTCAAGCCTTACCTTTTTGAGAATTCAAGATTTTTCTCACACAGCTCAGTGTTCTCCCCCAAGCCAATAAGTTACTGCGCACGACATTTACATATCATCATCAGTATATTTTCCATTAAAGGGCTCTTTGAATTGCACAGGAGGGTCATTTAGATCAACAAATTCTCAGTGAGGAGTGTGCGTCACACCCAAGCCTATTTACACACCTCTAATCTAATCAATCATACCAATCAGATTGAACGTTTCTACGCAGGAAAAGACGATGGGAAAATGTTTAAAAAAAAAAGCTGAAAATTATTAAATTGCACGTTAGGTTTGGTAATAACAATTTATTTAGTACTGACAACACTAAATTTACAAATGACAAAAATTTTTTATTGATATTCCTTATTTGACATTTATAAATTTTTTTAATCATTTTTTCAAAGATAATTTCTCCTCCCAGTTGATTTCGAGAAGCCCCATTGCATGGTTGTTTATTTTTCCCTGCACGTTAAAAACATCAAGCATAATTATTTTAGGTCTCAATAATTTGTAATTTTAATTGGATCTGAACCATTAGGAATTTACATCAAAGTATCAAACAATGAGTCAATAAGAAGTATTTATTACACTTTATTATTATTATTTTAAAGTAATAAAAGTGGTCTGCTGGTAGATACACAAATTTTAAAATCATTCATACTGTTTATGACCAATAAACAATATAATTTTCATATTCTTACTTTGTTGATGATTTAAAATTTATTATTTTCATAATTATGGACAAAAATATTTATAAAATATAAAGCATTTATTTCTCTTTTTTTTTTAATTTCACGTCTCATCAGGCTAATGTATTCTGAAAGGATGAGTTACGATTACAAATTAGTGAATTACCACAAATAATCAAATCATATTTTCAAAGCTCATAAAGAAGCCAGAAAAGTTGAAACGAAAAGGCGCGACACTTTATGCTTTTACCGGTACAACGAAATCCAATTCGTTGCTTTCTTGCTGGTCAAAAAAAGAAAATGGTTGCTTTCTTGGTTCAGAAGATAAGTGCATTTCCAATTCCGATTAACCACATTTCAAAAGTGAAAACTCCAAATTAACCCCAACATCCTCGTGACTCATGCGACCCAACGCGCGGGAGAAACGCAAATCCTGCGAAGCCGCCCCCTCTCATCAACGGTCACGATTTCTCCAACACGCGCGACATTGCCACCACGCACACGGTATCAGAAATTTCTCGAACCAACTACAAAGTTCGAGCTACAGGAAAACTGAATTTGTTGAAAATGGTTTAGCAAACATTTTTGTTTTTAGTTGTTCTAATTCTAGATCCGACGGCTCACATCTCACTGACTGAAGCTTCCAGAATTCCAACTTTATTCCTTTATAACACCCGCGCTCTTTGCCCGTTGCGCCATTCAACTTCGGAAACTGCTTTGGTTGTAATCTTGTCGTCCAAAACTTGAAATTTTCGTTTGTTGTGAAATTTTGAGCGACTATGGCCGGGAAAGGCGAGGGTCCGGCGATCGGAATTGATTTGGGTACGACATATTCTTGTGTTGGTGTTTGGCAACATGATCGGGTCGAAATTATAGCCAATGATCAGGGTAACAGGACGACGCCATCTTATGTGGCTTTCACTGACACCGAACGATTGATTGGTGATGCTGCTAAGAACCAGGTCGCGATGAATCCGACCAACACTGTTTTCGGTATGTACCTCTGATCTCTTTGTTCATTTTTTTCTTTGGACAGTTGACATAGGAATTGTTTCCTGGTTTAATTATTTTTCCCCGCGATTTCACTTTACTTAATCGGTGTCGGGGTGCCACGAAGATTTTTTTTCCGGGTGAGTACTGACATGTGTCTACTGGGATTTTGCACGAATTAACTTGTGATCATGCTTGAATTATTGCGTTTTGCAACGGTTCATTAAGCGGTGGAATCTTAGTATCTCTCTGTGTGGGGGGGGGTTCTTTTTTAAATTTCTTTCAGAACAGAGGAGGGGCTTGGCTAGTCTGGAACTGTTTATATTTTTCTGCTCTCCTATATGTTTTGAGCTTTTGTGGTCAATAATTCTCCAGCTTGCCCAGCAGTAATTCATAATTTCCTAATTCCTAGTTCCCGTAATTTCTTAATAGTTTTTGGTACTCTGGACTTTATGGTTCTTTGTTCTTTTTAATAACTCCCTGGAAAAGGAGTTTTTTGGTGAATGAAAACAGAGAATTTATGCTCTTTTTTCCCTCAGTTATGCAATCTAAAGTCAAAATGTGGCTTAAAAAAAATCTTTTTAGCAAAAGGAGTCACGCACTATTTAGTAATGAAGGATGACAAGGTGGCTTACTTCGGTCCTTTTTGGATACCAGGCATGATAATTTTTATTTCTGATTTTAGACGTTATTTGATGTCATTCTTGCAGACGCCAAGCGTTTGATTGGTAGGCGTTTCAGTGATCCATCGGTGCAAAGTGACCTCAAATTGTGGCCGTTTAAGGTGATTGCTGGCCCGGGGGACAAGCCCATGATCGTAGTCACTTACAAGGGTGAGGAGAAGCAATTTGCGGCCGAAGAGATTTCTTCAATGGTTCTCATAAAGATGAAGGAGATCGCCGAGGCCTATCTTGGTTCTACTGTGAAGAACGCCGTTGTTACTGTGCCCGCATATTTCAATGATTCCCAGCGCCAAGCCACAAAGGATGCTGGTGTTATCTCTGGGCTGAATGTGATGCGTATTATTAATGAACCTACTGCTGCTGCCATTGCTTATGGACTTGACAAAAAAGCTAGCAGCACCGGCGAGAAGAACGTTCTTATTTTCGATCTTGGTGGTGGGACTTTTGATGTTTCCCTTCTCACCATTGAAGAAGGTATTTTTGAAGTGAAGGCAACTGCCGGAGATACCCACTTGGGTGGTGAGGACTTTGATAACAGAATGGTGAACCATTTTGTTCAGGAATTCAAGAGGAAGAACAAGAAAGATATTAGTGGGAACCCCAGAGCTTTGAGGAGGTTGAGAACAGCGTGTGAGAGAGCGAAAAGGACCCTCTCATCTACCGCTCAAACTACCATCGAGATTGACTCATTGTATGAAGGCATTGACTTTTACACAACTATCACTCGTGCTCGGTTCGAAGAGCTGAACATGGATCTCTTCAGAAAGTGTATGGAGCCCGTGGAGAAGTGTTTGAGGGATGCAAAGATGGACAAAAGCAGTGTCCACGATGTCGTTCTTGTGGGGGGATCCACTAGAATTCCCAAGGTCCAACAATTGTTGCAAGACTTCTTCAACGGTAAAGAGCTCTGCAAGAGCATTAACCCCGACGAGGCTGTTGCCTATGGTGCTGCTGTCCAAGCTGCCATCCTCAGCGGAGAAGGCAATGAGAAAGTACAGGACCTTCTGTTGCTGGACGTCACTCCTTTGTCCCTCGGTTTGGAAACTGCTGGGGGTGTCATGACTGTGTTGATTCCCAGGAACACCACAATTCCCACCAAGAAAGAGCAAGTGTTTTCAACCTACTCTGATAATCAGCCCGGTGTGCTGATTCAGGTCTATGAGGGTGAACGTACCAGGACCCGTGACAACAACCTGCTTGGTAAATTTGAGTTGTCTGGCATTCCTCCTGCTCCAAGGGGAGTCCCACAAATCAATGTTTGCTTCGATATCGATGCGAACGGGATATTGAATGTATCCGCGGAGGACAAGACTACAGGGCAGAAGAATAAGATTACAATTACCAACGACAAAGGAAGGCTTTCAAAGGAAGAGATTGAGAAGATGGTACAGGAGGCGGAGAAGTACAAGGCTGAGGACGAGGAGCACAAGAAGAAAGTGGAGGCTAAGAACGCACTTGAGAACTACGCATATAACATGAGGAACACTGTGAAGGATGAGAAGATCGCCTCCAAGCTTCCTGCTGCTGATAAGAAAAAGATTGAAGATGCGATTGAGGAGGCTATCAGTTGGTTGGATGGGAACCAGCTTGCTGAGGCAGACGAATTTGAGGACAAGATGAAAGAGTTGGAGGGTATCTGCAACCCCATTATTGCCAAGATGTATCAGGGTGCTGGGGGTGATGCTGCGGGATCCATGGATGAGGATGCTCCTTCAGCTGGCGGATCTGGTGCTGGGCCCAAGATCGAGGAAGTGGACTAAGTTAAACAATGTATCGCGGCTGGCGTTTCCCTTTTCGTGTGTTATTTTTGTGTGCTTCTATGATGTAGGCAGTACGTAAACTTAAACAATATTAAAGTTCTATTCTAATGTTTCGGCTGTGGACTGGTGGATCCTATTTTGTTTCAAAGCTATGTTTTCGGATTTGAGTCTGGAGTTTTCATTGTTGAGGATCATCGGGAGATTGAACCACGATATGGATCATGTATGTTTATGTTACTGAGGCGCAAATGTTAGCCGAACCTATAGATTTGCGGCTACAAAAGCTAACGATCAAAATAATCCTTGGCAGAGTCGAAGACTGCAACGGAGGAGCAAGATCCCCGCTATTTAGGAGGAGCCTTGTATGCGGTTTCGGCTTTACTCTGAAGTTGTTTAGTGGACTTGGTCAATTTTCCACCGTAAACATACAATCCTTATAATTGAGTACCAGCTCCGAAAGAACTGGCCTCGCCTGTGCATTACTGGCCCACTTGTCCCTTGCGAAGGGTGTGTATCTGTCGCTATTTTTGGCCGATGTACCCCCAGGTACTCTGCCAGGTAATCTATCCAAATAGGATTTTTTATTTGCCTACATCTAAATAGGATTGCGAATAATGTGATTCAATGCTTTGTTTTTAGATTAATTGTCGCAGCTAAAAATACAACAATACAACAAAATGCATTCGAACCATACAAGCATATGGTTATAGATACACAACTATCTTATGTTACGTTTGCATTGATAACATTTTGCTTCTCGCATCCGAAAAACACAGTAAAATTTAAATGTTCCAATATTTGTCCCTTCCTGAATCATGTTATAACGAATTGACATCAACGGTTTCGTGTTTGAGTACATATAATATTCCTTGACCTACCAATAGAGATTGGGTCTAGCGGAAGGGGCTAGTTTATCACAACATATGAACGAAGGTTTGAATCCCCGCAATGAGAGGTGTCTATATTTAGTGTCCAAGTGCCTTGAATATGATTGTTTTTAATAAGAGAATACCTATATTTTAGGGGGAAAAAAATTCCTTGACCCATAAGCCGGAAGAGTATTATCTATTTGCACACAAATATATGAATGTAGAGCATCTGGTTAAATAGAAAATAGTTGATATAGTTGTTTCCTCAAGAACGCAAGTACCCAGGACTGGAGAAGCTGTGCCCGTGGAGTGCTAGTGTCTGTCCATCTGCTGAAGGCTGGACAGTTGGACCCATGACACTCATTCCATTTTATGGGCCTGTTATGTCATGATTATGAATGTCGTCATATAATTTGGAAATAAATAGACATATGGGGAATAAAATTGTTGGTTTGGGTTCCCGGGCGGCTGGAGACCCTTGGGCTCCACTTCCAGACATTCGCTTCCGCCAGTGGTCCAGTGCGTATCATCAAGCCCTCTTGCCCCACAATGGTGTCTTCTTTCTCTCTCCGAAATTTAAGCCATTTGAGGAGCACATCTACGTTATATTAATAATATAAAAATAATTGCACTGTTACTTACAGACGCTGGCTTTTCTTTTTCCAAATCGTACGTGTGCTATCCTTTATAAACAAACAAAAACAATCTGTCACACTATCGGGTTGGTGCAACTTTATTTGTTTTTAAAAAGTTCATGTTTTTTAATAAACTTCAAATGTTAAGAAATAGTGTATAAATTTTCATATTTCATAATAATTTTCTCCTATTGTTGGGTGTTGACAAACTTCTAGCCTTATCCAACCTTGAATTGACAGTAGCCAAGGATTTATTATCCAGTTGATCAGGATCTAACGTGATATACTGTTTTCTTTTACAGTTTCTACGGTCATAAAGTCACTCATGCTAATTGTCTGGCCACCGAGACGCCACAAGACTTCCCTCCTCGTCTTTTTCTCTCGTGCTGCATGATGCACCGGCTGGGGAGGATCCATTTCACACCAATTAGTTTTGTTTTCACATTATTTATCCAGCTGACCATCCTCTGCTCCCAACCAATTCCATTTTTGAAGTCTATAAAATTGTCACAGGTCGCTATTTCCAGACATTATATAAGATAAGCAAATAATAAACCTTTTATTTGCATATTGTAGAGCACGAAGAGGAGAAATTGTATAGAAGACAGTCCTAACAAGGTATTTACGCGATGTGACCAATAAACAGGAATATATCAGTATTTAAATCTGAATGTAATCAGAGGCTAAATGAAGAGGGATTAATATTGGTCCTGGCAAAGCAGTCCAGGTAACGCATTGTCGTATTGGGAGAAGAATGGAGAAAAGGTAAATCCAAGTTGGAGGGCTCATCGAGATACACGTATGAGCATGCATGGGATCTTCTGTCGTATTACATTGCAAACAACATTTTTTGTCCTGCGTCTCTCTCTCTCTCTCTCTGAGATTTTGGTTGAGATTGAATTGAAAGCAGAGATCATGCATGGATGGTTTCATTTCACCAATGTGCGTCGAATTCTGTGCAGGAAAAGTAGCAGAAGAGGGCGGAGGGATTGGTGCATCTTTTTCCACTCCTTGGCTTCACGAGGCTGGCGCTGAGAATCAGAAGTGGCGGCACCTCAATCGTCCTCTTTTGTGCAATTCCGCAACACGACGACGACGTAGCGCTGCAATCAACTCATCCCCATTTAATTTAATTACTTGGAGGCCACATCCAACTCATTCACATCTTCAGATCGATCAGCACAAAAGTCCCATTATCTCGCATGAATATCACACACACCTATCACTGCATGCTTTTATCCTAGTCTCTATTTCTGTCACTTTGTCTGGCATGCACATGCTTTTTATACTTCTGAATATAAGATATATTTAACTAATTTGATTAAATTAAGTAAGTTAGATAAATTAGTTAATCATAAGAAATACGATATATTTTTTCTAAAATACCATAATCATCTTTGTTAATATCTTTTCTTAGTATTTATGGGGATAATTTAGAAAAAATTAATAAACATAAAAAATATGTCTTATATTTAAGATCAAAATTAACTTAATAATTATGTTATATATAACGGACCGGAGGAATATGTAATAGCCCATTTAACCCTTGTCTAACTCCAACTGGGTGTTTGATTATAGCAGTATTTGCATTTTTCCTGGGGTGTCTTATCTCACTGACCACTCATCTTTCTACATCACATGCACAGTATAGATATTGCTTTTAGTAATTTTTCTCTTCTGTTTTGGAGGTGTGTTTATATTGCTTCTTCTTGTGTCTTGACCCCTATATTTTTGCATGCTCTGGAGCCTGAAGGTTGAAGCTTTACCTGGGTATTTCTAGGTTTCTCCTCCTTTTGTTTGTGCTTTGGATTGATTTGCTGTATCTCTAGCTACGACTTCACTGAGTCGCGCTGCGAGGCCTCTGCTACACCCTTGTTGTCCGTTTTGCTTTCCTTCTTTTAAGGATGGCTTCGCTTTTGAATTTGTTTTTTCAATTTACTCGTAGAAGATAACATATGGATTCGAATCCCGTTTACAATAAGTCTTTCGTACTATTAGACCACGTATTGTGAGGGCTTAAAAAAAATATGACATGTCGAGATGGAAGGACGATACAAAAAAATGAACCTTAATTTCAATCAATTCACGGAGATGTGATATGATATTTGGTATTATTGATTAATTTATACTCAAACAGTGTCAAGACTCAAGTTACATCGACTCGCTTGATATATTTTTTAACAAAAAATTGAAATACATCTTTCTCAAAAACTCCGCCTATGTTGTATAGTCGGTCCCAAGCCCGGATAAAGGAGGAGGGTTATGTTAGGCCCTCAACAGCCAACGTAAAAACCCGTCGAATATCATAAACATGGATCAACGAAGTAATTATGCTTTCTCAAAGATACCGAATCACTTCGCTTCCATTCAAAACTCATCATCATTTGTGAGAAGAATTCTTGGGTGCTACAAGAGTGTTTGTGCCATCATCTATACTGTAATTAATTAATATTTGTTCTTTTAAATTTACATGGAGGATTTTCCCATTTTATTAAGAGGGTGTTTAGATATTCAAAATCACTTAAAAAAATATTTTTACGTAACGCAAGACAAAACTTCGCTTATATATTTTGGATGTTGTAAAATTATTTTTAATAAAATTATGATTTGTTTTTAACTCAAACACCACTTAAACCATCTTATTTTCCAATTTTGTTTCTAGATATCTAGATTTTGATTATTTTTATCAGATGACGAATCCCGGACTTGTTTGGGCTAATAAAGATACTACATCTACGGTGTTGTTTTTCTGGGCCAATTGCCATGAAAATCTCTGGAGTGAAAAGTCAAAAGCAGAATCAAATGCGGAGAGATAACGCTCGTTGGGTGGGATGAGCCAGCCTAGCTATTACGCTTTAAAAATCTCTCTCTCTCTCTCTCCCCCCCCCCCCCTCTCTGAGCCTATCTGCCATCACTTCAATTCCCAAAAGCCTACTCCTCGCCCTACACCTTACAACCCAACCGTCTGTCTTTCCCCCCGCACCGTCGTTTTACTGTTCTGCCCTTTCTTTCCTTCAATGGCGTAACCTACGTTCTTCTCTCTCTGGCTCTGTCATTCCCGAGACACGACACATTATGAGCTTAGAAACAAGAGAGTCACACAGCCTTGTTCACCGTCGTTCATTCTACCGGGGGAGTTACTGGCCCTTTCAGCAATTATTGTCTTCTCGTAAATATTCTTCAAACGAAGACGACGAAACCCACGCCTACTCTCTCTCTCTATTCAGTATTCACATCTCAGCCGCTAACCACCATGTTTTCAGAGATGTTGTGCACCAAAAACAATACGCATGTTAATCCTCCCTCCCTCTCCCTCTCTAGCAATTTCATCTGACTCCTTTCTCTCCTTTTCATCATACTATCACTCTATAAAATGCGAGTATAGCACTCACATTCCAAAACCCAAGAGGCATACGTGACCATTATTAGTAGGAGTGAGCAGGGTAGAGCGATGGAGGGCAGTGAGAATAATGGGTCGAGTACTGGGAGCAATGGAGGAGGGGGTTCGCGATGGAACCCTACGAAAGAGCAGATAAGCATGTTGGAGAATCTGTATAAGCAAGGCATAAGGACCCCCAGTGCTGAGCAGATACAGCAAATAACTGCTAGGCTTAGGGCGTTTGGTCACATCGAAGGCAAGAATGTCTTCTACTGGTTTCAGAATCACAAAGCCAGGCAGCGACAGAAGCAGAAGCAAGAAACCTTTGCTTACTTCAATCGCTTTCTTCATTCCTCCCCTCACCATCCGCCTCTCCTCCCTTCCTCACTCTGCCCTAATGGTTCGCTCTCACTGTTCTTATTTACCTCTCGTTATTCTTCACCATTTTCTGCTTCACGCACCCACGCATTCCTCTCTCTTTTCTCTTCTTCATGCAAATGCACTCCATATATCTCTTTATTAATTCAAATTCACATGTAAAATTAAACATCGTTATTGGGAAACGAACAAGTTTAAAGAACCTTCTTCTTTTGCTTGGCCAATTCATTGTCAACTGATTTAGAGACTGCGCTGTGTGCGCGCGCGCGTGTGCATATATATGTATATTTATATTTATATATAGAGATACATGTTTTTTTTTTTGGAAATCCAGATGAATATAGTTCATGTTATGAAAAACATACTAATTTTCTTATCACGCACCATCCTGAGCATAAATATTGTGGTCATTAGAAATACTGTCAAACGAATTATATTATCTATAATGTGCTTCTTTCCAACTGATGTTGCCACTTTTCCTTTGTTTGGTTCCTTCAAGTTCCAAGTTAAAGGCTTTCTTTTCATTTGTTGATTTCAGTGTTGTGCACGCCATATTATCTGCCACACAGTGAAATGGGGTTTGTTGCTCAACATCCCAAAGTGCTTCTGCCAGGGTCAGGTATCAGGAGGATGCCCAGAAACTGTGAGGTGTACCAACAAATGCAGGACACAGTGATGTTGGATGATGGGCACTTGAGGAACAAAGAAACGCTTGCGCTTTTCCCGCTGCAGCCAACTGGCTTTCTGGAAAACAAAGCTTCATTTTCAGTTGATGCTAATCCAGCTTCTGTTTTCCCGGGTCATCATCACAATGATGAAGAAGAAGGCCCACCAGGAAACCAGCCCTTCTTTGAATTTCTTTCTTCTTCAGGCCAAGAGGAGTTTGTGCATAGAAAGTGATTGAGGGTCAGTGCAGAAAGCATACTTGTTCAGATGCAACTATTTTGAAGTGGGTTTTAATATTTCATGTTCTGAGAGTTAATCACTATGGTAATATGTACAATTTGGCAGTGTTTTTGTTAGATATAATATAATTTACCTGGTGCGTTCATGTCATTTCGGCGGATGCCGCTGCCAATGCTAATGATGCGCATACTCATTTAAAGTATTATTCTTTTCGTACCCATTGAAAACGGAAGCAATATTTGATCATAACGTTTCGTGCGAACTCCCTTGCCTTGTTGGAAAAGATCAAAAGAACAGCGAGAAAATTAAGAAGGCACATTATATAATATGCGCTCCCATGTGTTTAGCTAAGTTATTGCGAGATCAAAATGTGATGGTTGAGTCTTGTGGTTGATGCTGTATCACTGTTTACTCGTATTATTATAAAACCCTCGTATTATTTTCGTTATCTGTTCATTTTTTTGGGATGCTGGATTAGATGATTGCTGGAATGGCGTGTCTCTTAATTATCTAGCATGAGTTAATAAGCGAGGAAGAAGAAGGTTGAGGTCTTCTTTAAAAAAAAAAAAAAAAAATCTTCACGGTCTGTTTATGCATAATCAGTTGATCACAAGAGAACTGTAAGTTTCGGACGGATAAATAAGATATTCAATCGTTGTGATTAAACGAGTATTTCATTAATGGATGGGGGCGGGGGGGGGGGGAAGAGGATTTCATTAATGAATAATTGTGAGTAGTTTTGTAATTATTTGAGCCTCAGAGCCTGCCTTTACATTATTATAACATGTATAAGCATCTTAATTCTACCCTAATTATTCCTTAAAATGCATGTAAATGGCGTCTCACGGGGCTTTAGGCCTTTAATGTGTTTCTCTCTAATTCCCTCCAACGTATTTTGTAATATTCTAATTTTTCAAATGTTTTTTCTGATTTCTTTTAATGATTAGATACTGTATAAAATAAGTGACGATTTAATATCTTATAGGTATAAAATGTTGTGGTTTTGGAAATTTTATGTAGCCTTCCAATTCATATAAAATTTTGACCCCCAAGTAACTGGTGTTTATTAATTTGAGTGATGAAATTGTCCTGTAAAATAAATTTACATTGTACCAAAAAATTAATTTTGCATGCTCTTTGTTTTTTTAAAATATCAAGTGAACCATATTTTACCGACTAATCATGCTGCTCCCGTTTGACGGATCAATGACAAGACAAGCGTCTTTTTTCCAAAAAAACGTTGTGGGTGGGCTCACATATCAGAAAGGTCACTCTTCATGAAGTGGGCCCAATTCCTCTAACAGATGGGCCACTTATTCTTGGGAGCCCACTAATTCTCGGACGACAGGCTTCTTAAGAAAACTCTCGGATGGGCCACCTGGAATTTTCCCGACTTTTTAATACGGAATCCCAAACAGTAGTGGTCCCGCAGCCTGACCCTCATTTTAAATTTAAATTTAAATTTGCTTATAATTTAAAATCAGAGATATACCATATAAATATTAGTACTTCCTGTCCCATATTCTGACTATCTTGTTCGAAGTTATTGATAGGGATGATTTTTTTTAAAAATAATTAATACTCTACTTCTCTCGTATATAGTAATTAATAGTCTCCGGTCCGAAATAATATATAACGCCAGGAAGTGCATTACAAATAATATAGTTGTTACAAATGTTATAAATAGCACATGACTTGCACAAAATCTAAAAATGGTTCATAATTAATTTTATAAATAATTCGACGTATTGCGTCATGTTAATATTAATGTATTGATACATTGATGAGGACTCTCCAATCCTGAACCGAATCATTGACCAATTAGTTTAGCGAGCGGACCTATCCTAGCTAGGCAGGTCACAAGCTGCGGAGTAGGCTTTTACACACACATACTAATTTCACAAATAAATGTAGGGGTTAAGTTGGACTCTAAAATTCTAAAATTCTAAAATTTATATATATATATATATATAAACAAGCTCAAATAACTAATATGCAAGTACTTAATTTAATGGGGGAATTATAATGAGGTAAAAAATAATAATAAATACTATTCAATCTTAGTAACAAATGAGCAGTTGTTATTTCTTAATTTGTCATTGCAAGTTATTCTAATGTTATTGACACATTTTAGTGATTATGTTATTTTTTTGAGACTTTATAGTAATTCTTTCCAATTTATTCTTGCTACAGCTTGCGGCAACTATAATAATCAACAACGAACGCTTGCGGTTTTCAAACCGAAAAGGAAGAAGGAGAACGACTTGAGTGCACTAGAAAGTCCCAGGCAAAAGAAAAAAAAAAAAAAGGTGAGAAGATTTATTATGACTACATGCATGTGAATGGATTAATCGCAGACGAAGAAGGACAAGTCATTTTCGAAGAGGAGGTTTTATGTGTTGATAATGATAATTATTATCACAGCACAGGGCATAAAGCGCAGCCAAATCTTCATGGCTGTCTCCCGGTTGTGTATTTGTGGTTCTGTTCTGTAGCCGCGTTATTATTACTTGCAACCGCCTCCGCGTGGCCCATGCAATTATCCTAATTATCGTCACTCTCTTTTATCATTCCATCTTTTTCACTGCTCCTCAGCCCTCATGTACTGGTATGTTTTCTGGGCAAAAATAACTGAACCTGATTTTTAGTTCCTCTAAGTAATACCTGTCTCCCTTTTATTTTTTCACGAATTCTTAATTTGCTTTTTAATATCTCAAAATTTTTATTTAATCTTTCTAGCAGGTAATATAATAATTGTTAGTATTATATTCACTACCTATTCATTGTAAATAGATTAATTAATACTACACATATGTAAGAATACAAAAATATCTACTGCCACTCAATATTGTTTTTGCCACTATTTTGTAATAACTATAATTTGGGTTTCGTTAAAATGAGTCAAATTATTTATAACTCACGAGGGTATGACCTATTTTTACATTTTGTTTAATAAATAATGTAATTGTTTGACTCATTAATGATAAATCAATAGGAGATTTGTTGAGAACAATTTTTCTTATAAATTAAAGACCAAAATAAATTTACAAAGGACTAACTTAGAACCTGTAAAACTGATGGAAAAATATTGTTATATGTGTGGGTGTGTGCATGAGGTTAAAAATTACCAGCGTTGCTATTTGCTAACCCGTTGGACAAGGGGAAATTGAAAATCTCAGGGAGAAGAAGAAGGCCCATGTGAGGAAGATGCTCTGGAATACCGGAACCATACAAATAGACTTGTTAGCCGCATTGCTCCAAGACTTGGTTGCCCCACGCTGTGTCCCCACACCCCAAGCCTCTGACCCTTATCACACTCATCTCCACGCCCCAAGCTCTTTCTTTTAAGCTCCACTTCACAGGTTTTCTCAACCAAAAAAAAAAAAAAATCAGACTCTGTTTCACTTCCGTAATGGCATCCTTTATAAGCTAAGCTTTTGGTTTTCATTGGCTCTTCACAAGCTCTCTGCTTCTGGGTTTCCGCGTTGTTCGTATCTTTAGCGTACAAGGTATGTGTGGCCTTTTCCTCTTTCCTCTCGTCCCCGAGGAATTCCCCTCCCCACTAATACCCCACTCTTAGGCGTGTGTTTCTGGCAATATATTTCTGTCCTTACGACGTGACTCTCATAAATGAGAAAGATTTGCCATTAATGGAAGGTTGATGCTCCTTCCTCTCTTTACTTCACTGTCTCACCCCCACTTTCCTTGAAATCCCGCAGAAATTTTGATACTCTCTCGCAAATTCTGTGACTTGTTTGACCTGCAAATCTGGGAGAACATAGTTTTCGTCTAAAACAGGTTGTCTTTTTTTAATGAGTGGTTCGGTTGTTGATATGAAGATGTGAATTATCTGGCAACCAAAGACGATGTCTTTCAGTGGGATAGGTATTGGTCTGAGCGTGGTGTTTGGCTTTCTTCTTCTGGCTCTCATTGCTCAGCTTTACTACTTGTTGTGGCGGAAAAGGAGAAGAACACACGCAGAGATTGGAAAGGATGACAACAATTATACGAAGCGAATGCTTGACGGGGCGTGCTGGAAGACGCTATCTTCATTGCAAACTACCACCAGAGGCCCAGAAACGAAGATCCTAGAAACTGACGTTGAGTCGGGTGTTGCTACTACTAACAAGGATGTAGTATTGAAGAGCTTAGGAGAAGATAGTGTAGAATCAGAGCTTATGAGGCTGCACAATCTCGCTGGTCCGCCCAGATTTCTTTTCACAATTAAGGAGGAGACTAAGGAGGATTTGGAGTCCGAGGATGGGAAATCCAGAAGAGGGTCGAGAACTAGGAGCTTGAGTGATCTTATTGTGGCAATTGATACTCCATTTCTCACGCCTCTGCCTTCTTCACCGTTGAAGTCCCCTTCGAACTCTCTTGATTCTTACAAGCACCAAGGATTCAACCCTCTCTTTGAATCATTGTCGGAACCAGAAATTAACAGATTTAGATCTTCACCTCCTCCAAAGTTTAAGTTCCTGAGAGATGCAGAGGAGAAACTGTACCGAAGAATGACTGAAGAAGCTCACAGAAGGGCACAAAGCAATCAAGGTTCTGTTTCAGAATCTGGGGTTAAAGATTCTCCGACCCCAGCAACGGTGATAGACGAGAGAGATGGATCGTTTCTTAGACTCATCAAGAACAGAGAGAGGGATCAGAGAGAGGTTCAGCAACATCAGGTGCTTCCGTTAACAACTTCTCCTACAACATTCCGACCACCGGAGAAGGAATCGATGGTCCGCTAGATTTTTCATGAGTAAAATATCATGCCTCTGTTCATTTTTTCCCCCTCCATATGCAGGTTAATTTATCTAAATGACTTGTGTACTAATTCCATGTTTTACAATTTACATAGCGGTATGATGATTTTTCTAGTCTGCTTTTGTTGTGTGCGGCTTGGAATGATCATGATGATAGATTAGCGCATATTTTACGAACCGAGTAAAGAAAGAACTTGGTGGGGTTCTTGTCTAATCCCCATGTTTGCTGTGGCCTTAACCAGTTAATCATTCATGTGAATGATGGCTGTTTGCTACCAGATTTCTTTCTTTAATAGACTCAATGATTCGCTTTCTTTCTTTTTTTTTCCTTAAAAAATAAATATCCAGAACCATTTTATTATCCTAGAATGCGTAGGCTGGTCCTATGACCTGCCTTAGTTTTTGTTGTTTTCAGACGAAACGTGCAATCCTCATTTGATGGGTAGAGCTTGAATTTCAAATGAACTCCGAGAAATGCTGATGCGATGGTAAATAAATCAAAAGGGGAGAATCTCGTAATTCTGCCAAAGTTTAAAAGGTCAAATGTAAACACGAGACATCTTAGTTTTGACGTGGTAGAAGGGTAACGTTGAATCTGTAATGAAAACGCTGGGAGCAGAGTGGCGTCCAGGTAAGAGTTGCTGGGGAGAGGGTGTTGAAAAATTGTACCTAGACTTCTTGAAAAGAACTGCACTTTTTTTTTTAAAAAAAAAATCTTTGCCCTCTTCGTCTTCTGGATGAAGCTTTTGTCTTCATCGATCCATTTCCAAATACTTTAGTGCAGTAAAGTGGCCTTTCAAAATCAAACGTTTAAGGAGAAGCAGCCTCCATTAGGCAGTGAATTAGGACCTAATCTAAACGAAAAAAACATTTAATGGGAGGCTCCAGATGGTGAAAACGACAACGTTGAAAACGGTGCGTCTAACTCAATCGAAAACGGAGACTACGGACTATTGCCTAAACAACAAGAAATGTCGCTGTTATCACGCGATTCGGCCGAAAGTTCCCCCCAGCCCACAAAGTATAGGCTCTCTCTCGCTTTTGAAATTTAAACTTTAAGTGAGAAATACCAAACCCAACAATCTACTATTGAGGGTTCTTATTTTACGAGCGTATGTTCAAAATTTGAATGATTATTAGAAACAAGATGACGTTGAACTGCGGAATAAGAATGGTCGCGTAATATCTGGAAAATTGGGAATTGGGCAGGCTTGTTTCTTGCATGTGAAATCAGGCGGTCTCAGAAATGGTCCTCATATTAGGAGTCTATTTGTCGGTCCTACTCGACTCTAACTTGTCCGGGATTCAAATTGCTCACTCGGTTTGAATCAGATACCAAAAGGCATGAAAATTCAAGAAATGTTACGCATTTATTGTTCTTGTTTTTATAAATCATTTCGCCATCTCTTCTCCACTTGCAAGTCGGAAGACGTGGATTTAACATGTAGCAGATAGATAGATGACAAGCCAGAAAGATCGCCCACTGAATTAAAGGCCCCCATACACATAAATACTACTGTATTGATGGCAGTATTCCTTGATGGCTTCATGTCTCTGTTCTGCCTGTTTTCTTATTGGTTAAGCCGAGCTTTATTTTTAAATCACAAGGGATCGATGCTTGTTTTGGTAATTATTCCGAGTGTTGTTTAATGGTTTCACGTCATCAAGCGTATAATCGAGCAGTACGTGAGATATGATTTGAATAATTGAAGGAAAGTGATGAGAATATGCTATTGAGCTTGACAAAGGCCGGACAGCTCACTCTCTCTGTCGCAGTCGCTTTCTCTTGCTTTGATTTGAGATGAAGTGATTCTTACATTAGGTTATCTTCCTCAGGGACGCTGATTTAAAATTGAATACAGGTATGCGAAGATGAGCAGGGAATAGGAATTCCGTTGATGATTGTGAATTATTTGTCCCATGCTTTGATTTCATTTTTCATCTCTTCTGATCTTATCCTCATAAACGTACATCAGTTTGACATTGGGCCCCACCGTAGTTCAGAGATAATGACCGTAAAAACGGGCAGTGTCAAGACAATTAATTAAGATCAATAGAAAAGCTTTTGTTTTTCATTTGTCTGCTTCCTTCTTTACCAATCCGGTAAACAGGAAAGCAATTAATTTTGTTAATTTTCTTTGTCCGATCATGACTTTTGCCTCTTCACCGAATCGTTGGTTGAAAATTTTCGATGAAATGCCCCAGCTTGGTAAAAATACGTTAAATAATACTCATCTACAGTTTAATTTTCTCTAATTTTTTAAAATTAACAGTTATGTTTTCCCAAACTATTGCACATGCACTCTGAAAGTATGAGTCGAATTTTTTTGCCGTAACACGAGAAATTGAATCATAGATTTAAAGAAGAGAAAATCCTAAAAAAATGACTGTTGAATTTTAAAATGACAAATCAGGAATTACTACAAAAATATGTTGTTATTTGCTTTGTAAGTGTAGTTATTTTCTTTATAAGTGTAGTAACCAATACTGATTTGTCATTTTGAAATTCAACAGTCACTTTTTTGAGATTTTTCCTTTAAAGAATATCAGTCCTGATTTTAAAAAAATAAATTTGAAGATATATTTCGTACCATTCTTGTTGAGTTTGAATTCTAAAGCAAAATGTTTCCTGTTCTTTAATCATTTCTTTCTGCTGTTGGTTTCATATGTCTGCTTCTGCTGCATTCATTGATGAGAGCCGAGAGGCCATTCCGGCCCGATGCTTTAATTTGGGTGGGCCCCTAAAAGCCCACTAGTCATTTCAGGTGGGAGAGCTTATCTGTTGGGCCCAGAGGATGGGAAGTGTAATCATAATGGGTCAAGTCCATATGGATTTGGCCCAGTGAGTTGCTGAGCTTCTTCATGCGCAGGCTGTCAGGGCTTCGCTCGGACGACAGGTTTCTGTTCTTAATTAATTTTCTTTCTTTATATAAAAATTGTGGCATCAAAATTTTAGTTTTTGTAAAAAAAAAAAATTAACCCTACATTATCTAACATTTATGTAAGCTTCATGATTTTTCATATTTTTTAATGCATGTTACAAGGATAAGTTTTAGGGTGTTGAAAGATTGGATTCATAACGTGTGTTTTAACTAAAGTTTTACAGTCCCGGGCAGCACCACCATGGCAATGCGAGAATAATTTTGCAACTAGAGTTGCAAGAACTCGTTTGCAGGTATAATTTAAATCGTGTATGAATAAATATGAGTGTTGCGTGAATGAGAATACAGAGGGAGAAATGGGTAAGGAAGGTGAGATGAGACTGCGGGGAAAGTGGAGTGGGGTTGGGGAGAATGGTGCCCACACACACACACATGGGGACCAACGAGGAATCTGATCTGTGCTATGTATGAAAGATTGTAGGAGGCAAGTTGGTGGCGCTTTTGAGGTTTTGGTGGATTATTATTACACATAGCGATAGAGAAATTACGTGCCTACGTGAGAGATGAACTTTTGAACGGAATATGCCGGGGCCGCTGCTTGGCCGAAGCTGCAAATTAAAGAAAGACATGGGAATTGAAATGAAAGTGATGATACATTTATGATGAATGATGGGCACGTCAGATGCATGCATGTGCATAGAAATGCTGGGAAATACACACAAAACCAAGAGAAGTGAAAAGGGCTGATCAAATATATGAATGGGTTTGGATCGGAGTGAATTATAAATACTGCACGTAGATGATGAGACGAGGGGAGTGGGCATCAAGCTGAAGGGAGTGGGCGGGCCGCTAGATGAGATTCAGGCTCATCCCCCCCCCCCCACCTTCCTCATCATTTGCTTTGCTGTGTGTTGGGAATCAATCAGTCTCGTGCTTTTTAGTGCAACCCCCACCCCCGTGGGGCCCCCCCATCTGCATTTCTCATGCACGTGCATGGCTTCCTTCCTCTCTCCCTCTCCCTCTGCGTAACAGAAAGAGAGAGAGAGAGAGAGAGATGCACAGAAGGTAAGGCTGCAATATTGGACGGCTTTTCCCAAACTCATAACAATAATAGGAAAATATATACATGAAGTGATGGGAGAGCTTTTTTTCTGGGGAAAAAAGTATGATGCCGCTGCTAGCTGTCGTTAACAGTGAAGGGAATCAGATTCCAACACCACCATCAACCTCCTCTCTTTTCCTCCTAATAATCTTTAACTGTTCCAAAAAGTCGGAATCATCCCCCACTCTTCTCTATATATAAATCTCGTCGCATCACTCTCAATATTCTCCATATCTATATATTATATATTCTTCTACCCTCCATGCCCCTCAAACCATATACCCTCTCTTCCTGCCCTATATCACATACACATAGTTAATTATATAATTACTACCTCCAGTTCTAATTATAAGATATTATTTACAGTCTACAAACAAGGTCTTATAATTAAGATTGATGGTAATATTATTATGCAAGTTCTACTTGAGTCTATATAATGAGATTTGAAATGCATCTTGCCCGCGAGTCTAGAACTGCTAGGAATTTAGGTACCATTTGGTACGAAAGATTAAAAATAAGAGGTAGGGATTAAAATTACTTATTATATGAAATTAGACAAACTCACAAACATAGGATTGGAGAATGCCCTATATGTAGGATTGTCTAATTTCATAGAATAAATAATTACTCATGTTGAAGACTTTTTAATAGTTTTTTTCAATTACAATCATAACTTTTATCCCTTATTTTCAATGCTTCGTAACAAACGGGCTTACTTCCTGACCACAGTTGATTGAGATGCGACGTGAACCTCCGAGGGCGCTAAATTAACGTTATCTATGGAGATTGGACGAATTAATATTAACTCTCTAAATAGTTTTACTTTTCAAACAGCGGTAACAGGGATGGCGACGAATCTTCAATTATCTACATTTGTCATAGGGACGGTCAACGTATCCTTATCGCTGTTTTTAATAATGGGATGGCAAATTGCTGTCACTTAAAAGCGATGTCCAGCCATCTTTACTAAAGACACTTGTTTAATGCTTTACGTCTGCTTGACATTTCATTATTTCCCCTTCTTTAAACATATCTCTTCATTGATTCGAGTTGGATTGCCAGTTTATAATATTCCTTGGGCGTACTTAATTAATTAATTTGTTCCTATTCTGTTCTTTTTAGTGAAAAACTGTCACCATGTCTAGCAGATATTTTGTAATGTACTATATGCTGAATTTATGATCGTCGTTGAGTACCAGATATGTTTAGGTACATGGTTATAATTAATGCACTATTTTTACAACGAATTAATACTCTTTGTATCGTACCTCAAACTCAGTGTATATATACATACTACAACTCTCTCTCTCTCTCTCTCTCTCTCTACATA